CACGACCGGAAGGAGCGGAAGCGGTCGACTGTGGCATAATAAAAGCTCCGCTGCTTTACCTCACATACGCACGACCGGAAGCAGCGGAAGCGCTCGACTGTGGCGTAATAAAAGCTCCGCTGCTTTACCCCACATACGCACGACCGGAAGGAGCGGAAGCGGTCGACTGTGGCGAAATAAAAGCTCCGCTGCTTTCGAGCCGTGTGTCACGCTCGTTCATCACCTCGTTTCACTTTGACGGCTTTCAGCCTCACCCTGCTTCATTCTACTATGTTAATAAATCATTAGCTCATCCATGAACATGATTTCTGCCCAAGTCCCGTCGGATTGCATCGGCTGTGAGGATGAAGACGACAACTCCCATGATTCCACACTCAGTCACAGCGTCATCTAACTATGCCTTTGTTTGTTTTTTCATTTTGAATACGTGCCCACTAGCGGCGAAAATTACATATTGTGCCTTTAATGAAGAACAAACTTCTCTGATAAACTAGAAATCCTAAACTTAGCCCAAACCCAGCAGGACTGACGTCAGAGAAATCAGCACTTTGCCTCCTGTTAGTGTTTTTTTTCTTCACCTCCATTTATTCCTGGTTGAGCGTTTCGATTATGTCTTAATGATGTTGCCTGCAATACTGAAGCATCTTGACATCCCCTCCAGTGACTCAGTGTGAACGTGCCAACTTTCTAACACATCTAAATATATCACTGCATATACACACACACACAATCAAACAAACACACACTGCAGTAACCCATGGTTACGATCGGCCATGTGGTTCTTATCAGCAGCTCTATTCCATAGAACTGAACACTTAACACGCAGATCATGGAATCTCATAAATCAGCAATCGGTAAATACGTGGATTGTTAAAGGAATAGTTCACCCAAAAATGAATTTGCTGGAAATGTGCTCACCCTCAGACCATCCAAGATGTAGATGAGTTTGTTTCTTCATCAGATTTGGAGAAATGTAGCTTTACATCACTTGCTCACCAATGGATACAATATTTCTCTCCTAATTCAGACCAGATGACTTTTTCCACGGGAGAAAACAATATTATGGATAGAGCACTCCATAAAAGTATTTTAGCTGGAAGCAACTGTTTAAAGATAAAAGCACTTTAATTAGTTTCGTGTTCAAAAGATTTGTTTCTTTTGGCTTCACAAGACATTAACTGATGGACTGGAGTGGTGTGAATTATTGTGATGTTTTTATCAGCTGTTTGGACTCTCATTCTGACGG